GATAGATAGATAGATAGATAGATAGATAGATAGATAGATAGATAGATAGATAGATAGATAGATATTTAAAGTGAATTCTTACACATCTATCAGTAATGGGTACTTCATAGACTCATCAAAGCCTGGAGGTAAAAGCATCTGATACCAAAGATCACCATCTGTCAATTGAAAGTCATGAATTAATAAAGAAAAAGACAAACATTAATTTCAGGCAACTACAGATGACGGTATTTTACTACAGATTTCACAATTTTGTTGAAATTAGTATCAACAACACATCATAAAATCTAAAACTGGCATCCAGAAACAGGCATGGTTCCACTAACCAGCTAACAGCAGAACAAAATGTTCATTTAGCAGATTAGCTTTCTCACTGACTTTGTAAAACGGACCAGTTAGCTTCTGCTAAATAAGGCTTTTCCTACTTTGTCTGCTATAGCTAACTAACAAGAAGCTAACAACAGGTTTGAGTCAGTCCCACCAGTCTGCAGCTGGAAGGAGATGTCGTTTTAGCTGTTAGCGATTAGCTAAGCAAATTAATGATGACTGAAAATTGGTAATAATTTAGAAATCATTAATTTGTTTAGCTGTGAGTCAATCAAACATATCGAAGGCTTTTTATGTTATGCTGGATGTTACTCCCCTCAGATTGTAGCACACAGGCCTGAGTAACACCAGAGTGAATCCTGCCTATCTTGTCTACTGTGACAACATGGAGGAGCAAAAATGGCAACTATACAGGGCTTCAGCTCACAGTCGCAACAGCAGCTATTAGCTTAACAGCAAGCCCGAATAGATCTGTTTCACAAATTATCTATAATATTGTAAGAAAAATATTTCGTCACGTCGGGGTCACCAAAACTGTAAGAAAAACACGTGTTCAATACGACTGAAGTGAAGATGAAAACACCATTGTTAAATAAAATGATTTGTGGTAGGAATAAAACCATACAACACCAGAATTCTGGAACCGAGTGAGGTTTAATTGTCACCAGGCTGACAAGGAAAAGCACACTGGCTAAAAGCCAGGAAGTGCATCGATTTATACATGATTCTTCAACGCCTGAGTTCGCCCCCTACTGACCTACGGCTGAATCACAGGCATTCATCCAAAATTCTCAACCTAATGTTATAATAACGTTTCACTTATGTGTTGTTTATAATTTGGACATATAACTACTCTATATCAATTAACACATAATAGATCAAACATTATAAAAAGCAAACCCTAATAATCTAGTGTTGTGCTTCTAACATCAGTACTAGCCTGTAATAACTATCAATTTCTTCAATATTTTTACAGTAAACTAAGAATTATGTTAATTTCATTCAACAATCATGTAAAACAACAGATATATACCAGAAAAGAAATTTAATGTGTAAATAATAATGATCTAAATCAGACCTGAAATCAGCCTGTAACTTAGACTTTAGCTAGTTGAAACATTATGACTTCAATGAGTATTAAAGTATATTTGTTATTTCTTACTGTCATAAATAGTAATAAATATTTACTAGTCAACATCAAGAAAATGTTTACTGTACACATGATTATTGACAGTTTGCACCTACGTCACCAAGTCACGTTGGACGGACGTCAGAAGTGAGGGAGTGTATTGAACAGAATGGCTGTGATTGTTTTTCTTTTCTAAGTTGTTTTTTGTTTTTTTCCATGGCTTGTAGCCTACTTGTTGAAGTTGAGCTAATTTGTGGAAGTAGCAGAGCTAGTTGGGCTCATAGACAGCTGTATTTAACACAGCTAACCAGTAAAACAGCTAAACGAGTAAAGTGCTGTCACACGTCAATCCCTTCAGACGTTAGCTGCATCGTGATCCTCAAAAATCTGATTGAGTTGGTTATTTAATTGTATTTGTTGATGAAACTTGTCTCTCTTGGTACTGCTAACCATCTTCATATTTCAATATAACAAATCAACTCACTTTTTTAAACAAACCCCTTGATATTGTCACTACCTACAAATATCTTGGAATTACTTTGGATTCTCATTTGACTTATCTTGATCATGTACAAGTCTTAACCACGAAGTTGAAACAGAAATTATACGTTTTTTTCAAAAATTAGATCCAATCTGACATCTTCWGTTTCAAATATCTATCTTCATGCCATTATACTCTCAACCATGTCGTACTGTTTACCTGTTTGGTCTCTTACAACAAATGAAATCTTAGAACCCATAGTTAGGCTCTACAACAGGGCCTACAAAATTCATAAAAAACTTCCTGGTTGGACTCATCACTGTACAGTTCTTTCATTGTCTGATGCCTTGACTTTTCAGAATTATGTTTTGTATAGTGGTATTAATTTATATTTTCAGATCTTCCAAGGTGCCAATTGTGGAACTCTCTGTGCATTGTTGCCCAAATTAAATTCTGGAAGTGGTCATTCAACTAGATCTGTTACAAAAGGACAACTGATATTACCAACTTTTAAAAACTGTTACGGCCAGAGGTCTTTCTTCTATGTTTATACTAAAGCATGGAATGACATTCCTCAAAACATAAAGTCCATTTCAAAACTACAGCCCTTTAAGAAGAATCTTGTCTGCCATCTGCTGGACACTTTTTGTTGTGCTCATATTTAGACGTCCTATTTTGCAAATGCTGCCTTCCTGAAATTTGGTATGCTTGTTTGTCTTTGTGTCTATGGTGTATAATGATGTGATGCTGTATTTCTGAGTGTTTTATATGCTGCAGAACAGGAACCTGCTGTAAAACAGCAATTATGCTGAGTCAGGCTTGATTTTTATTATCTTTTCCTGTTAAATAAATAAATCAAATCAAATCAATCTTCTCAACAGGTCAGGTTTGTCTAATAGTCAAATACGTATTTAATATTATTTTACACTGTGTAAATAACACATAAATCAGAGGCAAAATCAGATTGTAATATTTAATAATTTGTTTTGAATTGTAGCATGATTCACCAGAATGATGGTCTGTATAACAATATCTGCTACAGAAGCTAATATCTGTTAACCAATTCAACAAGATAGAACTTTATGCCAAATGTCCCTTGATGTGTCCCGTCGCCATTCAGTAGTGACCGTTAGCAGAATCATCACAGGCCTTCATTGATTAGATAATCTCATACGGTGGGTGAATGGATGGACTGATGTACGTACGAGGGGCTAAAGTGACCTCATCAAACTAACACACTAATGTGTTTAGCTAGTTTCCCTAATGATGCACACAAAATTGTGTGCAGATCGGCTCATGTAAGTGTGATTTATAGCCAACTGTGTGCAAAGTGGGTGATCTCGTCAAACTGTGCAACAAATTTCATTTTTAAGTAATTATAGGGGGTGCTGTGGAATAATTAGGCCACGCCCCCCAAAATTGGACTACATTCCTGTAGTTGGGTGGATTAGGATCGACCGTAGTGAATTTGGTGCAGATTGGCTGAAATATGTGGAATTTAGAGCCAGATTTATGTCAACAGCGTGATGTCTGATTTTGCCACACCGCCATGACCACAACTTTCAGTAAAGTTTTTGTTCTTCAAAGTGAGATCAATGTATGATCTGTGTTCTGACACAATTTGTTGCTGATTATGTGAAAAAGGTCAGAGATGGAGCTTTTCAAGCCAAAAAAAGGTCACTTCCTGTTGTCAGGGGGCGGGGCTTTGATGATGTCATATGGCCACATGGTATGGTTGGGCATGCAACATGGATGACTCAAACCACTTTTGGTTAATTTTAGCCTTTCTATGTGAAAGTTAGTTTTCTGAAATTGGTGGACGGATGGACGTCCTCTGAGAACAATAAATAACAGTGATTACATCATTGCTTCATCAGTRATGATAAAGTTATGACAAATTCAGTTACAGGTATTTTATAATGAAACCAACACATTATTAAAATTGTAAGAAAAAGGTTTAAGGCTTTGTTGAATAATGCTCTAGTAGCATCTTTTTTTCCAACACTGACCTTATAAATGTGGCTTTAACCATAGCAAAAACAATTTGGAAAAAATCTTCTGTTAATTTATTTAAGTAGCACAAATTCTCTAAGTTACATTGAAATAAAAAATTAAATGATCTTAAGTCACTTACTGTATCCTTCAATTCTGATGGTCCCTCGACGCACTGTAGGCATTGAAATTAGGGATATTTGGTCCCTAAATATTTTATTTTCCTCTAAAGGTTGGACCACTAAAACATAAACATATACAATTATTATTAATATTATTTTTCCTTTCACATTATTTCAGAACAATTAAAAAGATACTCGTTACAGAGTTATGAAGATCGGACAAAAAAACTTGAATAAAATAAATTAATTTAATTTGTTCTTAATTTAAAAATCTGAAAACAACATTTTTTGACTGGATGTGTTTTTATTTATTGACAAAAAAACAGCCAAGGGGACTGAAAACAAGTCAAGCAATAATTTTATTGACTTTATTTGTTTACTTATACAGACTATGGCCAGTGCTGGGCATCGTTCTGCTCATCAGCTCACAGATAATAGTGGAACTCATTTTTTGTTTAGATTAGATTTGTGTCTAATTTTGAAAACCGTTAGCAGATCAGTTAGCTTCAGGTAAATGATAGTGGTTTATGAGTTAGCGAAGCTAACTTTTTTGTTTAGTTGTGCCCAACACTGACTATGGCCTACCTAATGTTAGTCAGATTTAACTAAGTACTTTGTTTACATTAAGTGCAGACCCACATTTCAGTGTTGAACTGAATATATGTGAAAAACTACCAGAGTATGTGCTTTTAAACTGCACTATTTGATAAAGTACAGAATAAACTTTTTTATGTTTGACTTCGTACTTTGCAACGAGTACATTTAAAGATACAAAGCTTACGTGTATTTCTCCTGGTATCCATTAGAAAATACTTTGGAATGTCAGGACCTGAAGGCAAAAATTGTAACAATAATATTTATTGAAAGAAACAACTATTTTTAATTATTTTAGAGAAGTTATAACTGACCATTGCAGCTCATATGGTAGTAGGAGGCGTTGTGGCTGAAGTAGGCTGAGTTATATTCACAGTCTGAATTTAAATGGCAGGTAAGACAAGTCYTTCTCATGTTGGTCAACCTGACGTACCAAAAAAAACACACAACGTAAGGCTGGTTCAGGTTTTTAAAGTTCTACATGGAGCAACAAAACAAAGGTCCTTACTTGTAAACATTCCTTCCTCCTGGTTTTTGGTCCTTTTCATTGGATGAAAAATACCTGAGGATTGATTAAAACACATTAGCAGTGGTAGCCACAACTCTAATTAGCTAATAGGACAGCTAATGTTTCATTTAGCAGATTAGCATTTTCAATAACTTTGGAAAATGTTCCCAGACCATTTAGCTTCCAAATTTAATTCTGCTAAATTTACATCTTCTAACAAAAACAATAATCCCCTTAAACATAAAGCGCTGCATGCCTGTGTCGTACTTTGTGTGTGTGTGTGTGTGTAGCATTGTTAAAATTTTGTGTATCATTGTGCAAGAGCCTTCAACTGGAAGGAGGTGAAAACTTGGGTTACAGACTGAGGCTGTGTCCAAATTCAGGGGCTGGGTCCTTCGAAGGACTCGGCCCACCATGTGGACCGGAAGAAAGTGGCTGTGAATTTGGACGGTCCAGCGCAGAGGTGCCCAAAGTGGGGCCTGCGGGCCACAATTGGCCCACCAAGCCATTTGTTTTGGCCCACCAGCAGTTGTCCTGGTTATTAGATTGTAATTATGTTAAGATTAAATATAAAATACAAGTAACTACAAGAGACTTTTAGATTAGATTTAAGCCCAAATATAGATTTGCACATCTTATAAAACCACATATACTCAAATTTTAAATTGTAAAAAGTCCCGAGTCTTTGCTGCCTGAGCATACGTTGAATTTTCTCCATGTCCATGAGCTGAAAAACAAAAAACCGAATGTGGGCGACCACACTGGCTGCTAGCTTAATCATAAAAAATAAAACAACTTTACTGAAGTCTTAAGCATTTCTTATATTACTGCATTTGGCCCYCGGCCCTCAGATTGACTTTAATTTTGGCCCTCTCAGGGAAAATGTTTGGGCARCCCTGGTCCAGTGTTTAGCTTTATTCCCGCCTAAATCAGTCCATTGTTTAGATTGTCCATAATTTACATGGYTTTTCCCTCATTTTGCAGGRATACAGATGTACAGAGCAATCTTACGGATTTTTTCATGTTTTAAGGATTTTTTTCAAAAACTCAAGTTTAAAATTTATTTAACATGTCGGAGCCTGTAGGACGCTAAAAAAAACAATTATCAGTAATAACATCAAATATCCACTTCCAACCCACTCTGCTGCTAGAAATAAATTCTTCCATCCTCATTTCCTGCTGATAGCGCTGCAGCCAACAGTCTGCCTGCACTTCGCCCCCTTTGATTAATATGGATTTATTGTGAAAATTATAGATTTTTGAAGCACAGGTGAACATTCGAAGGGGTTGACATATATGCTAACTCCTGCGTTTGTCCTGTCTCTTAGTAACCGTCACAGCAAAAAAACAGAAGCAATGCAAATAAAAATGATCTAAATATTAATATATTATCGTAGTAGCTATTATTAATATTATACATTAACACAATCAGCTTAGGCATAACATACATAAAGAACTATGGGACCTGTTATACGAGCTTTTTAATGAGGATTTCTGATGATATTTAAAAAAAACATGTCCAATGAGAGAAGTCTAACAACACAACCGCACTTTCAATTTTATACCTCCAGATTTTAATTTAAAGCTGTACTCCTGTRTCTCTCTTTGTTTGCCAATACAAGTAGAAAATTCTCCTGATCTGCCCATAATGCATCTTGGGATAGGGTGGGCTCCATCGAATTTGGACATCCTTTGGCGCATCGCTCTGAAGTAATCAGCCTTCAGATTTGAAGGAAGCAGCCTCTGAATTTGGACACATAATTGTCCAACAGTGACTTTTGTCTTTGTCCACCCAATTCCTTGTAATATGATCAGAAAGGTGATTTTGGCCAGTGAAAACACATAGTAGTCATGAGTTAGCATTAGGTTTGGCTACTTCTCTTACATGTTCAGTAGTGGTTTAGCATATGTGAAGCTAATTTTTAGTTAGCTAACTTTTTGGTTAGGTAGAAACACACCAAAGCTAACTTTTTGGCTAGCTGTGCACATTCTGATTCTGTCACACTATAACACTTCAGACAACTTATGCCAGTGTATGAACATTCAGGATTGAATAACTCGTTATAAGTTTGATCTAAATCTTAATATTGCAGTATGTCTGTGTCCAAAAGAGGCTTCCAGTTGATCTTTTTTATTCCATCTTCAGAATAGATATATTTAAAGTTGGACAAAATTTTCACAAGTTGTCTAAAATGTTATAGTGTGACAGGGCTTTTGTAAGAACAAAGAAATCAGTGTAGCAACGAAGAAATTTAGTTTGTAAAACAAATATATACAGTATATATATATATACGTACAAATATATATATGTACAAATATATATTTATATATATATATATATATATATATATATATTTGTACGTATGTCTACTGTGTTCATTCACTGCAATTTGTGGGTTTGAATTGTTTAAAAGACAAAAATGTATTTTTCTTTTAATTATTAATTCCTATGTGACGTTCCAAACTGCTGTTGCACTGATTATTGTTTGCGCAGGTAAGATACTGACTACTAATAATAACTCCACACAACCTAGATTTTAAAAAAGGGCATTTTTTAAGGAAAAACTTTAAATTTTGAGCCTTTTGGAGGGAACAAAAACAAGACTTACTGTATATAATTCACATTGTGAATAAGCTGTTATGTACAACACACACCACTGTGTCCAGTAACATAAAACTTACACACTGTCTGCAGTGACTTTCAGGATATCAATGACTTCAAAGTTTCCATGGGTGATGGATGAAGCTTTTCCCTGTTTGGTAAAACACACAAAAAATATGCTCCTGGTAGAGTAACATGTCAGAGGAGACTTAGAATCTGATTTTTATTCTGTCTCAGATAGCCTTTCAAATATAAATTTGGAATAACTCTAAACTAACACACCAAATTTTAACTTAACCCCAGAACTGACCAAGGTACAGTCATTCCTGAGTTTGCTGAGATCTGTTAGATGTGGCCAAATGTTAACGAGTTAATGAACAGATTTCTCCCAAGGGTGATATAAATATGCATATAAACATAATTATAAAAATATGAATATAAATGTAAAAAGGGCACGTTGAACTTTTGAGTTGCACATCCAATGATTAGGTTCTGGAAGTTCCATTAAAATCTGACCAGTGGTTTATAAGATATTTTGCTAACAGACAAACATGGTTAAACCCAGTGGTGGGCACAGCTAACCAAAAAGTTATCTTTGCTAACTCATTAACTAAAAATACAGCTTCACCAAAGCTAAGTGTAAACAAATTAGTAGAAGTTAACATTAAACAGCTAAKCAAGTAAAAAAATTAGCAGGAGCTAACACTAACAGCTAATCGCTAACTGCTAACACAACTCTGTGTCTCCTTCCAGCTGAAGACTGGTGGGACTGACACAAACATGTTGATGTTAGCTTGTTAGTTAGCTGTTAGCAAACAAAGTTAGTAAAACCTAGTTTTTGGAAGCTAAATGTTTTGCTAATGGCTTTCAAAATACGTAAAAAAAAAGCTAATCTGCTAACCAAAAACAAAACAAAACAAAAAGAAAAAATTGTATAGGTCTTCTGGACGGGTTCTTTTCTAATGAAACGTTTCGTCTCCCCTCCAAGAGACTTCTTCAGTCTGAGAGTTTCAGGGAAAATTCAGGCTTTTAAGCACTGCTTCCATGTGACTGATACTCATCACATGGCTATCGTTGACACCTAATTAACACTTATTGTTAACAGGGGGTGGAGTGATACTGGCAATAGCAGCACTGTAGGAGGGGGACAACTGAAAACGGAGGCCTCCACCTCTGTTTAATGATGGACGGTCTTTCTTCACAAAAATGGCTTCTTTTACTCCTCTCTCAAACCAACGTTCCTCCCTATCAAGAATGAGAACATCCTCATCTCTGAAAGAGTGACCGCTGGCCTGTAAATGAGTGAAAACTGCAGAGTTCTGGCCATTAGATGTAGCTCATCTGTGTTGGGACATTCTTTTGAACAGTGGCTGCTTTGTTTCCCCGATGTATAACTGGTCGCAGTCCTCCTGGCACTTAACAGCATATACAACATTGCTCTGTTTGTGCCGGGGCACCGGATCTTTGGGGTGAACCAGCCTTTGCCGTAATGTGTTTTGGGGTTTGAAAGCRACTGGGACATCATGTTTAGAAAATAAACGTCTCAGTTTCTCCGAAACACCCGCAACATACTGTACGGAATAACCACTGAAGAGACGAAACGTTTCATTAGAGAAGAACCCGTCCAGAAGACCTATACAATTTTTTTCTTTTCTATTTTTTACCTGGATTACTGAGATGCATCAGGACAAAACAAAAAGAATGGCTATTATGTGTTAGCAGAACCACGCCCACCACTGTTTAAATCCTATGGCTACTGCCAAGTGTGGTTAGCTCATAACATGTTAGACATGACTGTCAGCTACTACTGCACCAAGTTGTAGCTAAATATCTGTAAAACTGAGTGAGTTAGAGCCATCTTTAGCTGTGGCGGCCATCTTGAATCAAGCAGACTCTAATCAAAGACGTGTAGCCAATAAGATCTTTCTGAATTTCATTAAAAATCCACATAAGTGAGACTCGACGCACCTGAACCACGTGATGGAGGTGCTTGTACTTGCTGCTGCCACTCATGACCAGGTAGTAGCTATTCTTGTCAGCAGCAAAAACAGGTTCTGGTGGGGAAAACTACAAACACCATCTGTTTTTTAATTTTTATAATAATAAAATAAATACGGGCTTCAGAAATTAGCATCACTGTACCATACAATCATTCCTAGGTTCATGAGATCATTTATTGGTGTAATGAACATACCCGTCCAATCCAGCCACTGTCACTGCTCACATCCAGATTCTGTAAAGAGATAAAAGAAGGGTTTATGACTGTATTTCATCACATCTGATAAGAACAGAGAAAGAACAGAGACGTTACAGCACAAATTGATTTGTAGATTAGCTAGCTGTGATTTTCCATCTCTAGAAGTTTCTTTGTGTTTCCTTGAACACACTGTTGGGTTTTCTATAAGAAATGAGGCAAACATGCAGTTCTTTAGAGTTTCTTTCAAGATGAACRGGATCTTCTCACAAAATGTGTTTAACCACAGCTGATAACACAGGATGGAACTGGAGGTAGAGACAAGGGTACAACCAGGGTCAGCCTTGTGTTGCCCAGTACCTAAGTATCCTGGTACATTGGTTTCCCAGTACCAATGTTTTCCAGTACATGTTTCCCAGTACTTGTACCCATATCCCCCAGTACCTATGTTTCCTTGTACCGTAAGGTTATGAATATAACCACGGTTCCTTGAAGGAATGGAACGAAGTACAACACACAGTTGTATATGGGACACGCGCACCCTCGCGCACCTGGCTGAAGCCACCTCTAATCACGTCTTTAGACCGGTGACGTGGTGCCGTTGAACGTCGGGTGACAGGCTCCGCCTTCACCCTATAAGTTCGGAGTCACCAGCGTCATTACTCAGATACCGCCCTTCACCGAGCCTTCGTGATGCGGGGCCAACAAGGTGTTTTACTTCGTTCCATTCCTTCAAGGAACCATGGTTATATTCATAACCTTACGTTCCTTTTCAGTCATTTCACTCAGTACAACACACAGTTGTATGTGGGACTTGTCAAAGCGCCCCGCAGAGCAGTATCAGACCTGAGTTAAGTAGTGTGCCTGAGTAAGTACTG